CATTGGTGAATGGCACAAATTCTCCTAAATCACTCGTACGCACAACTTAAGAACAAATCTGTGCGTACCAACGGTTCTTGCATGAGGCCCAGTGTTTTGGTTTCATCATTTCATACATTTATGTTCCATTGTGAATAAAATCAGATTTTCACTTTGTTGCAAACTTATTTTTCCTCAACATCCCAACTGTTTGAGATGTTGGATGTGTATTTTTTTATGTGTTTTCCTCTGACTGAGACAATAAACCTGTTTTAGATAGACTCAAAAGTCCTCAAAACATTCTTACAAATTAAAAAAGTTCATAATGGACATTAGATAGTGTTTGTTTGATGAGTCCAGAGAATTTGTTAAACTTTATCAGTTTGGCTGTCTCAAACAGGCAGACTGCAGCAGAAATGAGCTGCAGTCTGTTTTTATTCCAGTGAGGTGTCGTCGAGTCGAGGAAAGTCCCTCCATWAGTGGAGAGGATCACTATGATGGTCACCTGATTCACAGTTTTATTTTCTACACCAGGGATTTCACCTTTCCTTTTATTCTTTATTTCATCCGCAGAAAACAAGAAAACTGGTCCTTAATATYTAAATAAATAAATGATACTCTGCTTAAAATAGATGGTGCTTTGTGACTGAAAACACTCACTGTCCACACTCTCCACCATCTGAGAACTACACTGTGACGAACAGTTCATCAGCTCCACCACCACCTKCCATCAGCTTCTGACCCTGTCTCTGAGGGGAAATTATTAAATCCCTCCCTGCTGCTCTGTGTTGAATAGATTCATTTCTACAGATGAAACAAGGTCAGGTCATAGATTCTGAACATAAACGATGCAAATATTCCTCCTACAGAGGGCTGTGAAAGTTTGGGCAGCCTTGTTAATTTTCCTGATTTATCTTTATAAATCATTGATTGTTTGGATAAATAAAATAATCAGTTAAATAAATCATATAGGGGACAAACACAGTGATATTTGAGAAGTGAAATGAAGTTGATATGATTTACAGAAAGTGTGCAATAATTGTTTAAACTAAATTAGGCAGGTGAATAAATTTGGGCACCATAAAAACCCTTAAGTCAATATTTAGTAGATCCTCCTTTCACAGAAATAACAGCCTCTAAACACTTCCTACAGCTTCTAATGAGAGTCTGGATTGTGTCTGAAGGTATTTTAGACCATTCTTCTTTACAAAACATCTCTAGTTCATTCATTTAAAATAAAATGTGAACAGCCACACAACTCAAAAAATAATAATTTTGCAAAGTCATAATTGAGTTGGAGACACAACTCAGAGTTTTAAAGTAAAAATTTGTCACAGTTGATTTTAAGCCTGTTTAACCTTGTGGATATTGTTTGATTGTTCCTTACTGTCAACCATGGTTGTCCTTTTTATTTAAAGTGAAGCCTCACAGCTCCATCACCTACAGTAGGTTCAAACATCCCTTCAAACTGCTGTGACTGATAAAAATGTTGGGCTTCTCTTCACCTGTTGATATCGTTGTTCAATTATCTGAAGTTTATTGTTTATTTCTTCTGGTGATTGGACCGCAGTCCCACAAAAGACCAAAGAAAAAACATTATTATTATTATATTTCAGGAAATGTGGAGGCTTTGTTGACATGAAGTGAAGTTTGTGTTTGCATGTTTCACAAAGCAGGCTCTTTAAAGTCTGATTAGACTCTAATTAGACTAAAAGTGATAAACTGGGTCAGCTAAATAATTACTGCAGTCAGTAAACATTATGTAGCCAAACCATCATTTCTTTCTTTAATTACTGCATTTGTAGCCCACGGCCAAGGTGTGCCAACTGTGACAGATGGTGTGACTTTACCTCGAGTCGTTCATATAGAGAAATAAACCAGAGCGTTATGAAACACAATCTATTTCACATTGTCGTGGCAAGTTTATCAAGAATGCAGAAACACGTTGGAATAAATGCACAGAAAATCTGTGTGTATGGTTGTCACTTATTTAATTCTGAGCAGACAACAAAACAGAAAACAATCAAGGAAGTCTGTTGGGTTGTGGCCGCTGTCAGCAGACAGCAAACCAATGATATAACCTCATGTTAACACCATGTGATAGTTTACAACCAATCACAATCCGACAAATATTACTGTC